TTGTGACGATGCGGTGCACTACAGTAGTGCCTTGAAGAGAGGCGCCCTTCTCCGAGGGCTTGACGAGATCGGCGTATTCGACGATCAGGGCATCGTAGGCGGCTCGGTGCGGTAGGTCCGTAGTATCGGCAATGGCGGCTACTCCGTGAATGATGGCCTTCCGCAACTGTGCAGTGGACTCCTGGGCGGTGTTCGGGTCGAACAAGCACCGACGGCGCACATCCACCAGCAGTCCGGAGTGGCTAAGAAAATCCGCACCCAGGATAGGCACTGGCACGTCCGCGATTGTGAATGGCCACCGGAATTCACGCTGAAGGCCCAGCGTGATGGTGAGCAGTCGCCTACCATAGGTGGCGATTGGAGTCCCGTTCGCCGAGATGAGCTGCAAGCTGCCGCGTGTCAAGGGGCCAACGGCAAGGTGCCGTGGCAGTAAGGTCATAACGGACCCGGAGTCGACAAGTATGGCACAGCCGAGCGAGCTCTCGTGGACGTGCAGGCGAACGTCGGAAGGCGGTAGAGATGCGCTACCGTATACCGCCAAAACGTGCGGCAGCGCCTCTAGTTTGTCGACTGGTTGGCTGGGTAGCTGCATGGCGGTCGGCAGCGCTCAGCATTTGCCTGGTACTGCCGATGGTAATAGCACCACGACGAGTTGGCCGACGATGTTGCAGCTCCTCCGGTAGCTCTCGCGCCAGTCGAGCGGGCACGAGTGCGGGATCTCGCTCGTCCACCAGAGGCCGGGAGGCGGTCCAAGATGCGACCAGTTGTGATGACAAGCTGTGACACAGTGGCTCGCAAGGCCGCTAATTCGGCCGTTATGCTGTCGGGCGTAGACCGCACCGCCTCTGGCGCTGGAGGCACCGGCGGCGTTGGAGTGAGCCGTTGGACGGCACATATGTCCAGACTCGTCTCGGCTAGCTCATCAGCGGTCAAGGCCAGGTCGTCCAGCGTCGTGTTGCGCATAATCCGAAGCATTCGAGAAAGGGTAGTCGGCATCAGGTCCAGCCAACGCACGCGGATAGCATCATCGTTGATGGTCCCTCCAGCAAGGGTGCGCATGCGCCGGAGTAGCTGCGACGGCGTTCGATCCCCCATGGTAAGCCCGGAGAAGAGCTTGTGCAAGCGCTGGGTTGCTGTGTCGCCGTAACGCCGAATTATCTGCTCCTTTAAGTTATCGTACGCACCTGTGCTCGGCGGGTTTCGGAGCACATCAAGTGAGTCCTGTATCGTCTCGCTGTCGAGCCCGGCGACGGCGGCATGGTAACGCTGAAGGTCAGAGCGGATGTTGTGGCATTGGAACACCGACTCCAGTTGGGTAAACCACGCCTCAGGATTGCCCTTCAAGAACGGCGGAGTGCGTACCGCCACGTGGCGAACGAGCTCAACCCCGGCCGGGGAAGGCGGGTTCGGTATTTCGCTCATATTGCCAGGCTCTGCGGTCGCACCGCTGGAGAGGTTGAGCGGGGGAGAGTCCGGCATCGGTGGGCTCTCCTCTAGGCGCAATTGGCGCACGTCACGTGACGCTGCCCTTGGATCACCGAGAGATCCCCGTCTCCCGGAGACCGGCGTTCTCTCCGTTTTTAGCGGCTTCGCACTCACAGGGAAGGCACAACTTCTCAGGTCACGCACTCACGAGAGTACTTACGTGTCCCTGAACGAAAGCGATTCTCTTTGGTTTTTGTAGTCTTGCCAAAATCACGTCGGGGTCACCAATTTAGCTATCCAAGTATTGAGGCTGAAATGCGGACTCAGAAGGATGAAAAGAATCTTGAACTGCCAATTCACAAGGTTTATTTCCTTTATTCTAAATTTGAGATTTCGACAAGACGGAAGGGAACTACAAAAATTGATCGGGAAAAGCGGAACTACGAACTTGCCGCGTGGCAATCGTAATAAATCAATTTTATAGCGGCGCGAGAGAACTTGCCTCGTGGCAATCGTAATCAATTTTAAGCGACGCGAGAGACTTGACTGCTCGGTGTCCAGGAAGAGAAGAAGGAGCAATTGCTCCGTTCGGTAATGAGCTTGGTTTCCCCTCCAGCGCCTAAGTGCCCCCCACAGCTACTTCGCCGCTGCTTGGCTGTCAGCGCTGCGGGCGGCGCAGGCGACCAAGTGGTGGTGAGTAGCGGCCTCGTGCGAGACACCACACATGTAACCTTGTGTTTCATTTCCTAACATAAACTTAAAAAGGGGAAAAAAATGGGAAAAGAATGGGAAAAATATTTTGGGTTTTCCGCAAATATGAGAGCCAAGTGGAGTAAATTTCTTTTTCAGTAATATTAGTATAACATTTCTATTTCACGTCATCCTGCTGAAATAAAAACTCCTGCAAAAAAAAAGAACATTCACAAAGTAACATGTTTTTATTTTCTATTGTAGATAGTAAATAAATAAATAAATAATAACTTATCTAAATGCCAGCATAACGATAAATCCTTGCTGAAGCAAAAGCAGGTAAAAGCACAAGAAACTCGGAAGAAACATTTAAAATAGACACGTGTAAACAGACTTTTTCAGGTCTGCTATTCGAGCTTTGATTTTGATTGCTACTTTAAGTCCGTAACGGTGGTTTTCAGATCGGCCATAGTATAACGCTCGTTCTTAAATTATATAATTAAAACCTAAAATCAAATAATCATGCATCTAAATTCATTGTTCGCAAACAATTAATTTTAAACCTAAAAACAAATTAGTAACGTTTTAGCTTTTTATCGTATCTTAAAACGAATTTTCATTTTTGAATATTTCCGCGGTTTTTTCGTTCCGATGCAACGACGGAATTCTCATACCAACCTAACTGGGGGGGGGGGGGGGGGGGGGGTCGCGATTCAATCCACGTTGGGTGTACCTATGGGACCGGGGCCTGAGCTAGGTAGCCAAGGCTCACACTCGAGAGAGATTGGTAAGGTAGGAAAGCGTTTCGTCCCGTGCTACCGGCTGGACTCATCAGTGAAGGCTCGACGGCCGGTAACATCTGCCTCATACGCTCGAAGTGCTGATCAATGAAGCCAAAAATGAGGTGATTTGTGACATTAATACTAACAGCAAACCGATTATGCAAAGTTGTTTATTACTATGCATAGATGAAAACGTATATGTTTCCAACTCACAACTTTCATTTAATAACTTTTTACAGCCGTTTGAAATTTGCAAAAACATGTTTTTCGCGTATAAAACCAAAACTATTGAAGTTAGGTATGTACCTTAATGGAATAAGTTATAGATAATAGAATTATCTACAAAATGAGCTATCGCTCATCTCAATCGAGTAATTAATAATCAATATAATTACAAAAAACATCAAAATTGATGAAAAAAGGTAACATTTCAAAAATTCATATCTCCACATAGAGTGATGTTGAAAGAATTAGCTTATGATATTTTGTAGATTGCATTGTCTTCTTCATGTATGCTAAATCTGAGCTATATATAATTATTACTTTCGGCAGTACAGTAATGACAATTAAACCTTTTTTTTTTAGTACATCTTGCATAATGCCCTGTGGCTCAGCCGTTAGAGTTATTCATTATTTGAAAAAAGTTTTTTAAATCTCAATAATCAAACTACAACTTTGTCATTTAAACTTTTGCTCTAAAATCAGTTTAAAAGGGTGAAATTTGTCGTTGAATATCGGGCAAAATGCGCCCGAGCGTTAAAGAAAGCGAGCGGTGGGAGATACAGATCTCGCGGAGGGGAAGTATATATAGTAATAGAAAAGCCAGGCGCTCGGCGTTTGACTTTAATATTACTTATTTTTATATATATATATATATATATATATAATTACGCTATTTTACTGAAATTTAATTAACAGTTTGAGATATTATTTATAATAATTATATTTATAATGTTATTTACAATAAATTTTAATTTGTTTCATTATACTTAAATGATAAATGTATTATAAATAAATATAAATTACTATTTGCCTACATTATAATAAAATATACACATATATTTATATGTTTCGTATTATTTATTTAACAAATATCAAATGCGTACTTAATTAACTTGAAAAATAAAAAAAATTTCAGTAAAATAGCGTAAATATCATACGCATAGTATTAAACAACTTTGCATAGTCGGTTTGCTGATAGTATTAATGTCACGAAAAAATCTTCATTGATTGGCCTACTCGTATCGCTATGCAGACTTATATATTCAGTGAGCGTATTTCTTGCCGCTCGTGGCTGGCCGGTACCATCTAGATGTGGATGGTCAAATCATGAGACCGACACAAATATTTGGTCGTCAACATGTATACGATTAATGCAATATCAAGCATGCGCATTATGGGCATGTTGAATCTTTTGGACACTGCCATCCAGTAAAGATAAAGATAGATCAATACTACTCTAACAAACTTGATTTATCACTTTTACAGGAAGAATCAAATTATAATTTTCATATTTATAGTTAATACTAATTGAAAGGAATCTATTAATATTGTTTTTTTTTTCGAAAATCTAATATTTTTATGTTAGGACTATAAATTTTCCGAGAATTCGTCCTTTGGTTTTTTTCGATTTCCCTAGGGATACATATTGTTATTTTTAGATGTAACAAATTAGATCGAAGCTAATTATGTGTCATTTTTTATGAAAATCGATATTTTTATGCTAGGTTCTACTCGATGTCAAACGTGCCGCTGCTGCGGCCACTTTTTCTCAAGATAGATACCACTGTGTTCATAACAGGATTGATATGTCAATTTACGATATGCGCAAAAGAAACTTGACTCTTATCTTGCTTCGAGTGTAAAAAATGTAAAACCAATTTGAACAGATAATTAAAAGACAATAACTTATTTTCCTTTGTGGTTTTCATATTCTTGTTCCTGTATTAAGCTGTAATTAATTAAAACAAAATTACATTAAAAATTTACACATTAGTAATTTGATTATAAAACTCAAAAAGAAATTTTTAGGGTATAGTCGTGATAAGTAAATGAAACGTAAGTTTGATAATATAAGTAATAATAGAATTACTTTATTAGAATTACTTTTAAAATTTGGACAATTCTGTGTTGTAGACTGATTTACGTTAGGATCTCTCCGTGTGTTACGAAGAGAAGAAGATAGAGTAAAATTGAAAACGGCAAAAATGGATTGGTCAATCTATATGTGGTCTCATTGATGAAAACTCAATGCTCATATTTATACAATTACTTCGTTATTACAATTTACACTTCATATAAATATGTTGTACTGAGTAATGTCTTTAAAGTAGAGTCGGCAATTATTTATATAGCGAATAAAAAAGTATATTCATCCTTTGCTTTTTCTTTTTACATTCTCCGTTGTCGTTCTTTCTCTCGAGCGAGTTCAGCAGCATAGTCTATTGGTGATGACCGCCTGCAATAATGAGAAACAATCGAATAAATATTAACAAAGACTATTATAATATTATCTTTTTCTTTGAAATTTACCTCTCTCTATATCTGTCCTTATCACCCTTATCACGATATCGGTCCCTACTACGGTCTCTGTGCGACCTTTCGCGACTGCGGCTCCTGTGTCGACGGCTCTTCTCGTACTTGTCTCGATCACGATCGCGTGATCTGTCTCTGCTCCTGTGTCTTTCTCTATCTCGACCTCGATCATCTCCTCTATCTCGTCCTCTCGACCTGTCCCTCGATCTGTCTCCGCGGTCTTCACTTGACCTATAAAGCACCAAGAAACAAAAAACAAATAAATAGCCGTAGTATAGTACATCGACATAAAAATGCAAAAAATTAAAGAAACGATAATAATGGCGTGTAAAAGGTGTCAGAGTGAGCAACTTAATAAAGGTGAAAGTGCTGAAATGCATTAGAATCTGAAAAATTGAGAGAATCATTAACGTGATTTTCAGCCATACCACGCAGACGCACCTGGCACGCCACTGGCTCGATTTCTCAGCTTCGCCCCACTGGCATTCGCTGTCGGGAATGTGCCTCGGTCGTGGGCCCTCGTCCCTTCTTCCACCACCACCATACTTCCCTTGGTTATTTAAAGTGATCACAGGTTTCGAGTTTCGTGAATTGGCTGTGTTTTGTGGAAATCTTTCACCTAGTCGTTGCTCAAGTTCCTTTTGTATAGGCACTGGTATTCTGGGGAAAAGTGTTGAGAACCATTCCAGCTTTGTAAGCCACTGCTTCAGAATATCCCCGATTTTCATCACTTGACCTCCACCTGCTTTCACATCCATAGACTCCTCATCCTCGAGATAATCTTCATACCAACTGAATAGATCAGCTGGTGGTTGCGTATATCTATAATCAAATTATACATTTTTAGAATTGATAGTCAAGAGTACATGAGTCTATTGAATTCATTACCTGATATACATGAAACCTAAGGCTCGTATGTATGGAGAGTCAGGATGGTTGATAAGCCCATTTAGCTGTTTCCTAGTTAATCGTAGTGTGAAGAGTTTGTATAGCAAGCAATATGCCGTTGAAACGATACCTCCGGCACCAACACCCCTGACCTGCATAAACCGCTAAATTTACACCCCCTAAGAGTCAGTGAATCTCATTCACATTGCAGTCAGCGCTATTAACAAGTTTATGCTTCTCTGCAATTGATCTAAGCCCCCCTTACTCAGGAAAAAGAAAATCTCAAGGCTCTGTTAACCTTGAAATTACTAGTAGAATAAATAAAAATAGTGTTTTCAACGTTACTTACACCTCCACACATTCCAGTTTGTCCAGCTGTTTTTCTACTTCCTTTCTCCCACGGTTCTAAGTGTGCTACTTTGTAATATATTTCATCTATGACTTCATGATAAGTTTTGAGCTCATATAAATTGACTTTGAAGTAATGCGAGGACTGAATATTTGTTAGAATTAAAGGATTGAGGTTCATAGTACGCTCATTTCCCCACAGTGGCAAAGTATTTGACTTTTTTCCCTCCTTCTGGACTGGTTTGCGGTCCTCTTCGCAACCACTTGAATTGTTCCATGGAGAACCTGATAAAAAAACAATAATAGATCAATCTAAATACACGAATTAATTATCGAAAATTATCCTTAACTTTAATTATTTTTAGTAGCTGACAAGTAAACATATTTATAACAGTCTTGAATTTGCAACGTATCCAAATTCTATAGGTTAAGTGAAAAGCGTTTTAAAATTTGCACAACACATTTGCACTTAAAATGACTTAGCAAGATATTATGAATATCAAATATATAACAATAACGTACCATCTGCATTATCCATGATTAAATAAGAAAATATTAACTTTCTTTAGGTTAAATTAAACAGCACAAAATACACCAATAATGCACAGATATACTAAAGACATCATTATTCATCAGTCGTTGTCAAGGCCTGAATTTCGGAACTCCGTTTTTAAGAACTTGCAGTAGAGTGACTTTTTTATATCGACGTACGTGTTTAACTATGAAAAACAATCAAATTCAATTAAAAATTAACAACATCATTTCTGAATTTGTAACCAAACAATGCGTTCATGCAGCCACAGTCGAAGTACTCATGTAAAATGGTGTCGCTTTTCAAGATGTATATGTGCATGTGCGTACGAATTCGCTATAGCAGCTATCGAGCTGATCGTTGATTGGTCGCTTGGTGTAATGGATGAACTTCGAATATAAACATGTTTGTAATTCTTTTTTTCAAATAATAAAAATGGTTGTTTCATTTTCGTAAAAGTTTTTATTTGAAAAAATAATGCAGAAAATACTTTACATATTACGAAAAAAATATAATCGAAATGAATCCCATTTTTTATAAATTTCATGCATTCAACGAATTTATACGATTCTATTTGAATAACCGAGAATAAAAATATAGTAACTAGATAAAATAGTAATTTTAGATCATAAAATGCATTAATACAATAATGACAAATTTTAACCCGCAATATCTAATTTCGATTAATTACTTTGTTAATTTAGAAAGCAATAGATAATTTTTTGATTTATAATATTGTTTAGACTTAATTTATAATATTAGACTGCTTATTAATTATTTGTACTAGTACTAGTTTGCTTAAATTATAAGTGTTGATATTTTTTTCACTCAATATTGTATCAAAACTGTTTTCAAGAACATCTCTTTTACAATATACAGTCTTTAGAAGAAAAACCTAACACAGATAATTGTAGGTTCAACTTGAATCTTACAATAATTTAAAGGTTTCTTGCGTCAGCTGAGGTCATCTAATACTGTGAATTTCTGTTTTTATTAAACTTGAAGCAAATAACAAGATTGTTATGTCTGTTCCTTACGGTGTGCAGCCATCGTATTGGATTATCTCTGATTGGGCCTGGGTAGTCATGATCAATGATCTGGAAATGAGCCATTGTCGATGGTATCTTGTAAATTTGACTGATAAACAGATGAATAATTTTCTCTTAACATTAATGAGCGCATTTGTTCCAAAACCTGATGTAAAGAGTCCGAACGGTGATCCATTAATCTAGTGGCAGTTGAAGGTGTGACATCTCCACTGGTCGTTCCTCCTGCTGGTGTTTGAGGTGTGTTACTTGGTGGAATTGGAGTGTTGGTACCGTCTCTTACTTAAAATAGGAATATTAATAATTATTACTTGATATTTTTTTAAGATTTAAATATTTTGAAAAAGATTATAGAAGTATACCTATATTGTCATTAGTAGGACTAGATTGCCTTTCTGCTCCTCTGATTTCTCTTATAATCTGAAATTCATCTTGCTCTCGAGAAGTGTTGTTCAATCTTAATCCTGCTACTCCTTTTTTCGGTGCATTGTATAAGTCACGTTTTATTCGTCTTTTTCTCGAGTGATCATTCCGTCGATATTGGAACATGGAACTAAAGTCAGCTACATACAAGAAACCAGCGATAAGAACTTCACACGACCTTTTGCCATCTTTATATGCAGTTTCAAGCTCTGCACTTGTTCTTTGGTCATACTGCCACCACCCTGTGCAAAAAGAAAAAGTTGATAAACACATTTATATCATTTAAATTATTAATAAGAGTATGATAATAACTCACCATTTCTTCCTTCATAAAACCACTGATAGTCTTCATGTAAAACTTCTTCTGTGACTTCTTCTGTTTCTTTTTGTTGTAGCGAATCTAATTCAACTAACTGTGGCCTTTCTAGAAAATCAGGTGGAATTTCTTGTCTGCACATTGGACATCTTTTGCTCTGATTAGCGACACCTTTAATGCACAGGTAGCAGAACACATGGTTACATGGAAGACGAGCTGGGTGAATGCAGATTTGTAAACATACGGCGCATTCCGGCACATTGGTTGTTGTAACTAAAACACCAGAATAATTAATAATTTATATGAAATATTATAGCAGTCAGGAGAATTAAATCTAATGTTTTGAAAAAATACCTTCTTTGTTCTCCACATTTTTCTCGCTGTCTTCAGTTGTGTTGCTGCTTCGAGTTACAGCTTTGCAACAGTCGACTTGTGCCTCAGCCATTATAAGTTCTATGATCAATAACGTTTGACAATTCGATTGGCGTTACAATAATTATATACAAAAATAAACACCTAAATAACTATTGACAAAAACTGATATACAACCTTACGCTTGTTCGTCCTTCACTTTATACTTGTCAGCACTTGATCGACAAAAAAAAAATTTATTCACTCATAATCACTACAAATGCATGGTTTTTAATTATGATGTTGGTAGTATTCAAACACTACGTCATTTATTTATGAATATAAATTGCATTAATAAACGAATAGAAACAAGTCTCGACTCGACTCTCGACTCTCGCCAGGACAGACTTTTTTTTCAGTTCGCACTTTTACCAAAACAAAACAGCGTTGCCGCTGTTGCCGAGTTGGGCGTTGAAACTTGAAACGAAACAATGATTCGCGTAATCTCATTTATTTTGTTGGCCCTAGTGACGACAGCTGATAACTCACTCGTTGCCAACGTCGCGGCTTTAATGTATATGTAAGTAGTGAAGAAATTATTTGTCAAATGCTATAATCGGCGTTATGTTTTTGAATTAAATAGTCGGCAGTAACTCAATAAGATTGGTAGGTGTGCAAATAGGTGTGCAAATCAGTTTCAATGATTCGGCGTCGTGGCGAAGGTATATTATAAACTATCTGACACCGGGTAAATTGAATATCACATGGCGCCTAAACTGCGTCCACGTAGTATCGCAAATTCACGGAAAGAAACAAAAAAGAGCAGCAAGAAGAATCATGTGTAAGTTGTATAATTATTAATCGATATTTATAAAAAAATTTAACTATTTATTACGTAATGACAATTTTAACACATGTTTTTCCAATTGATTGTGTCAAATTAAATTTTTCGATTCAAAAACAAATGAAGTTTCGATGACGTGATAATTGCAGTTATTATCAAAGTTAATCGTATAATTGCTGTACAGACCGCAAGAGAAGTTTGATGATGCTACAGCATCTAACAGTATGGGTCTTATATACCCGGGAGGAGACACTGCCTTGAAGCTTCTTTTATTAGCCAGGTTCTGCTCGGCCATTTGGAGTCATATAACGGACTGTGATGAAATTTACAATTACTGGGAACCTGTACGTTTTGATATCTTGTATTGTAAATATTTTCCGTTAAATAGTTATGTATATATTTACTATTATTTTCAGAGTCATTTTTTGCTCTATCAAAATGGTCATCAAACCTGGGAGTATAGTCCACAATATGCTCTTAGATCTTATGTTTACTTATTGATACATATGGTACCTGCTAAGTTATACTGCTATTTATTTGAACCAAATCCCATCCATGTATTTTACTTTGTAAGGTGCTTACTTTCTGTTGGCTGTGCTCTTTCTGAGGTTTATTTCTACAAGTGAGTTGAATTTTATTCCTTATTTTATTGTATAAATGCAAATAATATTCCTCTAATGAATTGTATTTTTAGGAATGTCTGTCGTGAGTTTGGCGTACATATTGCAAGAGTAACACTTGCATTCATGGTACTTAGCTCAGGAATGTTTATTTCTAGTGCTGCATTTTTGCCGTCATCGTTTTCAATGTAAGTTTTATTATAAGTTATATAGCTCAATAATTGTTTAGTTTGTAAAACTGCATTGTATTAATTTACAAAACATTTTCAGGTGCCTGAGTACACTTGCCATAGCTGCTTGGTTCGGGCGAAAATATGAATTAGCAATATTTTCTACTGCAATTTCAGCATTAATTGGCTGGCCTTTTGCAGCATTACTTGGGTATTTTTTCCACTTAGTAATATAATCATTATTTTTTGCTGATTGCGCGTAAAGTGCGTCTTGAAATCCAGACGTCAGGTTTCACTACACACACTTTACACGCTGCAGGCAAACAAATAGTATATTAACCACAGCATTGAAAATGCCAAGCCCTTAGCACGTATTTAGCACCTTCGGCTTCGCCTCGGGTGTCAATTTACACGTGCTATGGATTTACCAATACTTTTACTTTCTTGGTTAATACTATTCCAAAATGTGTGTTTTATTTATCAAAACATTTTAGGCTACCAATTGCAGCAGATATGTTGTATCGTAAAAAAGATTGGTTCAGATTTATTCAATGGACAGTGATTTCAGCATGTGTGATATTGATTCCAATGGTTTGGATTGATTCAATATATTATGGAAAACTGGTTATTGCACCATTAAATATTCTCCTTTATAACGTGTTTTCATCACATGGACCAAACATTTATGGAACTGAACCATTTAGCTTCTATTTTTTCAATGCATTTCTCAACTTTAACTTTGTCTTTATTGCATCACTGTTCTGTCCTTTATATCTCGTAAGTGAACTTTTTCAAAATATAACTAATAATCGATTTTATTATTAAAATTATTATTAAATAGTAATTTTTATTTGTAGTTCTTATGTTGGAATACCATTCCTGCTAGACCTAGACATCGTTCATGCTTGCCATATTGGTATTCTCTGGCTCCATTGTACTTATGGTACTTAGTCTTCTTTCTTCTGCAGCATAAGGTTTGTAGTTTCATTATCATTCGACGTTTTTTGTTATTTTGCTAAAGGTAAATCACTTAGATATTTTTCAATATCGACGTAAATAATAAAAAGTAATTGGACTGCTTTTTTAGGAAGAACGATTTTTATTCCCGGTGTACCCGTTGATCTGTTTACATGGCGCAATCACAATTGACGTTATACAGAAGTTGTACTTCTTCACTCTAACAAAAATTCAAAACCATACGAATTTTAGTCATTATCTGCAGTGTTCAACTCTATGCATGATTGCTGCAATTACTCTTAGTGGACTCATGGGAATATCTAGATCGTTTGCTCTATACAAAGGTAGTATAAAATCTAATAACTGTAAAAATATGCATTAAATGTCATAGTTGTATTAAAGTTCAGTTAACTTTATCAGGTTATAGTGCTCCTATGGAGTTAATGACCGAAGTTAACAAATTAGGAATTAATGGTCTTGTGCCAAATGACGCTCCAGTTAACTTTTGTGTCGGTAAAGAGTGGCATCGATTTCCTAGCAGTTTCTTTTTCCCATCTAACAAGTAAGCTGTTTTCGACTCAAATTCTTAATCGATATTTTATTAATATAATTGTTTCATTGCAGCTGGAAATTGAGATTTTTAAAATCGGACTTCAAGGGACAGTTACCTCAACCGTTTGCAGATGATGTGAATGCCACAAGCATTATACAATCCAACTTTAATGATATTAATGAAGAAGAACCCTCTAGATATGTAAGTTGTTATTTTTCAAAATGAAACTGAGTTATTTTGTTATTTGAAACATTACAATTATAATTTCAGTTTGATGTTGAAAAGTGTCATTTTATTCTCGATTTGGATCTTAATAAAGAAACAATAGGCGAGCCAAATTATTCTCGTCAAACAAACCGTTGGATCATTATAAAATCTTCAAAATTTTTAAATGCGGCAAAGTATATAACGTTTCGTTGTTTTAGTTAATTTTCATCTTTAGTTAACTCCAAAAAATTCTTATTTTTCTTATATTTTACAGCTCTCATATGTTGTTCCGAGCATTCTACGTACCATTTGTTTCGGACAATTATTGCACATATGGATCGTACAATCTCTTGCAAAGTACAAAGTTCAAGCTGTCGTCGACCAAGCATAAAACGTCCTAAATGCCGATTCGATGAGTCGGTTATTTCTAATGCCTTTTTTACTGGGCCTAGAACTTATAAGATCTTAAGTTTTCCATTTCCGCAGCAATAATTCGAAAAAAAATGAACTTGATCAAGTGTATATTTTGCATCTCCTAATTAAATGTAATTTCCTAGTCTGAATTCAATAGAATATTTTTACATTCGTATTTTTTGTATATTTTTTGTGACTACAGTTTTTTATACATTTTGATAGAATTTCATAAGAAAATTTTTTTTAATAATCTACTGCCATATTATAATTTAGTATTGAATTTTACATCTTATCCATATTATGATGGTAGACTAATATTATTAATTTATGTGATCTGCTATCTCTTTAAAAAATCTCATTTGTATGTTTAATGCACTAATGAATAAAGTTCGCGTGAAAAATAAAATGAATCAGTGATTTCAATTTTTAATATCTTGCATACAATTATTAACTTGTTTAAAGTAAAATCAGGAAAATAAAGTTTACCATTTACTATTTATATTGTGATCATTTTATTATTAAAAAAAATAAACTTGAAAAAATGAAGCTAATTTATTTCTATGTTGATATGCAATTGGTTCAAGCAAGAATAAGGTGCGAGAAAAATAATTATTTTATTTTCATTAAACATTAAGATCTTGAACTTTTCATTTTTAAAAATAAGAAAAATATTAAATACATTTTTCCAATTTGAATACTCACAATCAGAAATCTGTCCTCGACATATATCTCGCTTTTTCACAAAACTTGACTAATTCCGTGTGCACACACACGCGCGCGCGCGCGCGTGCACACACGCACCACTTTTATATTATTTATATGCAAATTTTTCAATTTTTCTTGTTATGGATTTTTCTTTGTTAACGACAAAAATAATTCATGAGTAAAAATTACTTTATGTTCAAATTATGATTTATATTTATAATTGAAGACTAAATGTATTGAATTTTTTCCTAAAGGTTTCTCAAATTTGTTTTTCAAGTTCACATGAAAGAAACATGCTCTAACATTATCATGTAAAAGATTCCAGAAACTAACGTCATGTAACGAACCAGTTAAGTTTTTGCTAGAAGTAGTAATCGAACCTGTGTTATATCAAGTATTAGTATGTGTATAAGAACTATTACAATGATAGAAGAGTTCTTTTCAATAATTACAAAATACTGATAGATAATGGAATGGTTACATGAAAAAATTGATAGAATTTGGTCCTTCATAGACAATCTCCTTTAGCTTGGCTTGGTCAAGGTTGTAAGTATATAAGTATAAGATCAGCTGGAACTAATTCAAGACTGTAAGTGGGTCACTTCAGGATAATACAATCTTACCCCATTCAAAAAAATAAAATCAAGATAAGTATATGAGTTCGATCAAAATGAAAAAAGTGTTCAAAAGTTGTTTCAAACCTTACAAAAGAATCAAATTATAAAGATAATATTAGAAGCAGAGATTCTTAAAAGCATAATCATACAAATTTTTAATTGATAGATGATTGTTAATTTTGTTGTAATAATGTTCTTATATAATTTTGTATTGAGTACTTGTGCTCTTAAGCAATGAATATTATGATTTTCTTGCAATTTATTTATAATATTGTTTATATATTTATATAAATTGTAAATATATATAAATAAATGTGTGTGTACATATAAATCGTAAAATAATATTGTATTATATAATTTTTCATAATAGAATTATTTTGATTTCCTTATTAATTTGCGATTCTAGTATGTGATGAAAATAGTAAAATAATTACTATAATTTTTGTGTGTGGATATATATACATATTATTAACAATAATTGATTGCGAATAGTTTTAAAATTGATTTTTGCAAGAAAAAAGTTTATTTTTGTTCGCAAATAAAAACAAAGAAAAACAAAAATTGCGCGCGCCGTGCTTATTACTTAATTCGCAACTGCAGATAGACGCAGACGCCAGCATAGATATCTCAGTCCCTTAGCTTAGCAGAAGAAAAGGCATGCATATATAAGCGTTCATCGCGAACTTGTATTTTTTCTGCGGTGTGTTCATTATAACAATTCCACAATAAAAGTAGGACGGGTAATTTGGAAGAGCTTTGCGTGGCTGAATGTGCATCTGAATCAAGAAATTAGCTGGTATTCCGGCGAACGGCAGTTCAAAGTGATCCATCATGGAGGTTAAGATCGCACGCTTTATTTTGACGATTCTGAAACTTTTCGCGAGAATTCTCGAGTTTTTCGCGTTTCTCATGTTTCTTTGGCGTTTTAAATTTATTTACAACGATCGTTTGAAGTTTCTTATTTTTAACGATGAACATTTGTCTCTCTGTTGAAGAGGTTCTGTAACTTGGCATCGATTGCTGTTTATACAGGGTTTTAACGGATATTGTCGTTTGTTTTAGCATTTACGTATAAAATTGAGCGCATTTTGTAAAATAATATTCACTCATAGAGTTGACTACTACTTTGTACTGGATAAACTGATAAATTTTTAGTGGCTATTAGATTGCAAGCTTGTGTTGTGTAGCTTGTTTGATTGTCTCATTGATGAAATCGAAAGTGTTCATTATTTTCATTAATGCTGTTTGTAGATTGATGAATGTTTTGTAAATGGTGATTCCGGAGCTGAAGAAGATGAAGATGACGAACTATCGCAGAACTCTGCGACAGAAAGTAGTACAAACAGTACCGCAAGCAGTACAACCACTGATAGCGGTGAAGAGAGTGCAGAAGAGCAGGCCACTACAACCTCAGATAGTCAAAGTTCAGTTGATGAAGTTGATGAAGAAATTGAAACTGTTGAACATCCTGAAGAGGCAAGTTTGCTATCTTTAATTAATTATGTAATCTCTGAGTATTCATTGAAATATTTCTTGCTTAGAGATGGGAAACATGTGTGGCAGGAGGAACGAAAGTTAAACTTCCCCAGGACTTATGCGAGGACCCTTTCATTTTCAAAGAGATGCTTGACTATCCAAGATTCTGGGAAGAATGTTTGACAGAGAGTCAACGAGAGTCATTGTACAGTTACTTGCCGACCTTTTCAAAAGATTGTAATATAGAAGCTGAGTTAGACAAAACTTTAGATATGTTATTTTCTAAGGAACTTCATAGGTAAATTTATCTATAAATCATGGTATTGTTCATTTTTTAATAAGCAATTCGTCATAGCAGGTTTGGAGTAAACCCCCTAGAGGATTTTCATAAGCACCTTTCAGCAGGGCATTTTAGGCCTGATATCAAAAGGATGCGAACACTAGTTAAAAAAGCACAAAGAAGAAAATACATATTTGAAGAGCGTAAACGGACCTATGAATTAGCTAATGATCTCCTCAAGTCAAGAGAAACCCTGCTATCTAACGCTTATAAGCAAGGATTTAGTCAGTCGTCACATCGGACGATTCCTAAGCTACAGTGGAAAAAGCCTAAGCCTGATCAGTGTAATAATTTTAGGACAGTGGCAAAATGTTAATATTATTTTAGAAGATAAATCATTTTTTAATGATGTTATTTTTAGTGGAGGAACGAGCGCATCAACGTTACTTGGAGGAAATAGCCGCAATAAACGCCGAGGTAGGCACGTCGTCGCGATTAGATTGCACAGATTCTGATACCGATGATGACGATGGCAGTAGTTGTCTTATGACACCTGCACAAGCTAGTACAGGTGGTAAGTTGCAGCAGCAACTGCAATTACTCCAACAGCAGCGTAGGAAAAAACGGGCTGCACTGGCAGCTCAACAACAGCAACAACAACAGCAACAGGTTATTGCTGACAGAATGTTGCTACAGAGGTACGTGTATTCATTTTATCATTCGAATGACACTTATACCTAATGTTTCATGAATTCTAGTCCTGATGGTGAAATAATAAGGCCAGTGCACTCGACATTGTCGAGGCTTGGATCAGAATATACATCCATTGGTACATCAATGCCTATCAAAGCGGAGTTGAGCGACGAGAGGTATAAATCGATGCTAATCGAGCATAAGAAACGAAGAGCAAGGCGAGATGTAAGTGATCAATTCAGTAAAACATCAATTATAAAATCTGAACAAAGAGTGCTTATAATTTTTTCATATTTCTATTTAGAACCATCCAGAGATGAACACACAAGGTATAACGTTGGCAGATGTTATGCAAAGAGCACAGTTCAGTCAAAAACATAAACTGACGATATCATCACGCGTCCCTAGTACAAAGAAACGTATAAAGATTGAACCGACGCAACAGCAGCAGCAGCAGCAACAGCAGCAGCAACAACAGCAGCAACAGCAGCAACAACAACAGCAACAACAACAACAATTATCACCACTACCGCCGCCACAGCCACAACCGCCCCCAATACAGTCATCTATATTACAACAACATCAATTACAGCAACAATTAAAACAGCAACAACAGCAATTGCAACACTATCAGCAGCAAATGCAGCACCAAATGTATCTATCTCAACAACAGCAACAGATACAGCAGCCACCATCACCTATAAAAATGAGCGTATCGCCGGTAAAACTTGAGAGCGATACAAATAGTTTAACAAGTACCGAGTACTCGATACACAGTGTGGACGATTTGAAACACAGTATGATAGAACAGCCAGATCATAAATTACCCGACTGTTTGCTGGCTGCCGAGGAGGAAATGGATGTTAAGGAAGAACCTATAGAAACTATCGAACCTGCCGAGAACAAGTACGAGATCGAACCGCCGTCTGCTCAGCTTCCACCCGATATTATGGATGAGTCAGTATTTATGCTGTATATAAAATTTTTTTTTATAATTTATGATTTTTATTTTTATAAAAATATTTTTATAGGGGCCCTGACGTTGATTTCGAAGACGAAACAGAATTCTCTCCTTACCCGCAGCAAGAAATTAAGGAGGAAATCGAAGACATGGAAGTGGAAATCAAAACTGAAGAAATTGTACCTGATATTACTCAGAGCATTACTGTTAATCAAGTAATTCCCGTGCCAGTCTCCATTCCAGAAACGGATGAGGATTTAGACAAAAAAGACGAGTTAGATTTGGATAGTATCGATATGATGCAATTGCCTATTCAGTTGGATGACGGCATTGATATTCTTGCCGATGTGAAGTGAGCAAAACTTATTAGTTTGTCGAAACTTTGAATAAATTTGAAAAACACACTGCTTATATATGTTACAGTTTGATGCCATTCAGGACTGACGACAATGTGATAACGATACCAGAGAAAGACGTTGCCGATTCCATCGTAGAAGACATCGTGATAAACGGTGATGAGCTCATGCAAGAGACTTACATGTGTTTCTTTTCGCTGTTGAGAGATGCATTCTTGTCGAAAGGCGAGTATAGAATGAACCAGTCAGAAATGAAGGACGCTGTCGTGGTATGGCAAGATAATCCGATTTCGCCACTGAACGATTGGTACTGCATTAAATTGATGAATTGTACTTTAAAATTCCACCCTAACGCTTGTACTTTATGCACAGGTATGCATTGGTTCCTTCGTGGCCTGCATTAGTTCCTCTTGCTCTGGGTTTCCTAGCTGGTGAGCTAGTCTACCCACAAGATCAGTTGTTGGATGGCGATCAAGAGCTTGTACCCTACCTTGAGAATAAAGGTCACGGTGTGTATGCTTGGATCGGTGCCGGACGAGACTCTGACTCCCGGTTATCTATGCTATGCACCAAATTTTTACTTTACAAGTAAGTTACAAATATAGAGTTGCATAGCAAAAATAGTGTGAACTGTAAAACTTTATTTCATTACCATTGCAATCGATTACTAAAATTTTATAAATATTTATTGAAATGCATTAATAATTTACACGCTCGTGTTCGCAGAGACTCACTGGTCGCACCAAAACCGCCGCAACCAGCAATAACACCTTCCCACAAACAACTAACTCAGCAAGTTCAGCAGTCAAGTCTATTGACAGTAAATAACTTGGAGAACACCAACGCAGCCACGGATATTCTTAATGTGACAGATGGTCTTTCAGCCGATCCAAGTTCGCCTGAGTGGGAACCACCGAAAGCACTGTGTCCTACTACGTGGAAGGTGCAACCTTCGACACCAGAGGAACGCGAAGAGTTTCGGAGACAAGAACGAATGCGCTATGCTGCTCCGCATAAAGCATTTACATACAGGATGCACGGATACTCATCAGTCGTGGGACCTGTCAAAGGCATTTATCAGCACAATGCTGGTGAGCTGTTTTTGCATCAATCATTATTGAAGAACAAAGCAAAGAAACGGTTGATAATTATATGAGTTGTTTCTCTATAAGGTTCTGGCTTGACGAAAGCTAGAGGTCATTCGTTATTAGTGCCCGACAGGCCTAATTTCGTCACGATCTTAGCTCTCGTGAGAGATGCAACAGCGAGGTTACCAAATGGCGAAGGAACACGCTCTGATATCTGCCAGTTACTGAAAGATTCGCAGTACATTCAGGAGGACATTTTCAACAGCGACAAAGAAGCCAATCTTAACTCTGTCGTTTCTGGTGCTCTCGATAGGTTGCATTATGAGAATGATCCTTGTGTCAGGTATTATCCAAAACGAAAAGAGTGGCTTTATTTGCATCGAGCTCGATCAGAGTCAGAGTTTGGTAAGAATATGGAAATATTTTGTTGAACTTACTTCCATGACATATCGCAGATTGTTATTATTATTCATTTTCTTTTTCAAGAAATGTACCATCAACAACTGCAAGGAGTGCCAAAGAATAAAAAGAGCTCGAGCGGCTCATCAAGGAGTAAAGGACAATCTGCTCTAAAAACTATCAATGCAAAAGATACCATGACTACAAGTGTGAAGGAGCCAACGCCAAAGAAGGAAAAGAAAACCGCTACGCCGGTCTTAAAGTACATAAATACATATTTTATCATCCTTTAAGTTACGCAAAAAAACCATTATGTTATTTACAGCTGCTATTTTTTTTTCTTTAGAAAAGAGCAAACCAAAAAAGATCGAAGCGGAAAAAATAATGTCTGTCGAGCCGAACATTACAGCCGCCGAGCAACTTTCTACGTCCGTTCAACAACAATTACAACAGCAACAGACGCAACACAAATCTCAAAAAATTCAGCAGCAATCAGTTACTCTCCCACAAATCTCGCAAATAGTAGCTATTACAACTGCTTCAACACCTATCAACATAACCGCACCAACTATGGTAAGCGTCGTAACTACAACTATGGTAACGACCAGTAGCGTCAGTTCACAGACAATGAGTACCCGCGACTTTACCCGTTGCAAGTACCCTCGACACCACTGCCTTCACTAGCCACAACGTACCAGTAATCGAAAAGGAGTGTCCGATTATTTCCTCTGTAATTGAGTCGAAGAATCAAATTACCATGACTGCACCAAGAGGTATTTTTATAATATGCTGAAACTTAACTTTCTTATTATACATCGTTGGCTGAATATTTAAATTATCATTTACAGAGCTGAGTAGTATGACGAGTCTTAGCAACAGCTCTCTCGTCGCCGACAACCGTGAAAAAGTTAACTGCGAATGTCAAGCCCGTAGGAGTAGTAAAATCTAGCAACACCCAAAGCCTCCTGCAATCGAATCAGCAACACTACCCACATCATCAAATTCAAGTTTCAACCTCGGCAGGCCTACAAACAATCAGACTATCGGGTCACTCAGTATTACAATCGGCGCAGCCTGTATCAACGGCTACAGCAACAAGTGTCGCGACTATTTTCCCAACGACGTCGACGAAGGTGCAGCAGCAGCAGACGGTGCTTAGCACACAGGCTGGCAAGAGCGTACTGCAGACATCGAATTTGAAGCAGCAACAGCAGCAAACGCACGTCATGCCTGGCAAAACTTTGTTGGCCTTCACAAATTAAATTAGGTACATTTTTTCGTCGATCTCTTAATATTAATTTCTCAAAAAGTAGAGCCATGTAATGAATCTCTATCTTCTCATGTGAAACAGTGAGTTCTGGGCAGATAAAGTCGCTGCTTACGGGTCACGGCTTACAAGGTCAAACGATATTCATCAAGCAATCTCCCACGGCCTCAACTTCACAAACTTCAAACCAACAAACTCAGCAAGTTCAGTCGCAGGTACAGCAACGGGTCGTGGCGGCAGCACAGCAACAGCCAACGGTTCAAAACACCGGAATGCAGAGAATAATTGCGCAAATAGGCGGTAAACCAGTAGCTGTACAGATTCAACAATCGCCGCAGCAGCAACAGCAGCAGCAACAACAAAAAGTACTAGCTAAGGTTCTAACGAGTGCAGGAACGGGACAATTGATTTCGGTAGAGAGTT